TTAATGAAATAGACACACCACATGAATCGATAGGGCACACCTCAGCTATAGCAATTCACATTGTTACTTGGGTCAAAAAAGGACCTCTCTTAAAAATAAATATAATTAATTATATTATAATTAATAATCATAATTAATGATGCTGCCTAGGCTAAGGTCACATGGTCTCTAGTTACCAGGAGCAGAATGGGTGTTTCATATATTAAAGAATGCTGGGGTTTTTGTTGTTTTCAGTTGCACTTACCCTGTCTGATAGACTTAGAAAATAAGAGGATCAATAAAGCACAATCATTTAACAATCACAGTGCAGCAATCTTGCTTACAAATTTCTTGTTATTCTAATAAATATGTGTGATGGCCACTTAATATTGGTTTCTGTCAAACAGAGAGAGCTACACACAGATCCATATTTGATGGATCCCTGCTGAACCAGTTGAATTTCGATCCGTGTGTGGCCAGCTTAAGGCACAACTATTGTGTAGCATTGCCAAAGCAGAAATCACAGCCTGTGTATGTAGAATTCAATAGAAAATACTGAAAATGTATTTACTGGGAATCGTAAAATCTAAGAGGATTTCATAATATTTACCACTGATAACTCTCTATCGCACAGACACGTAAATGCAGTACATAACAAAGCAGTGCCCCTTTGCCATCTTTTATTGTTTCTGTAGTTGTTAAAGTGTCACTAAAGCCCAAAAAAATGTATCATATTGCAGACCTTCATCTGATACTATCTGTTCACCTTAATACAGCAGCATCACATAGCACATCGAGATAAATACACTTAAAAAATGGCCCTGATCCAACTTCTGTTGTGAGGGTGGTCTTCAGCACGCAGCCGACATGGACTACAGCAGTACATGCCAATGCACCAGCATGTAAACGCACGCAAAGCCTCCTGTTCACTAACGTGAATGAAAATGGGTGCTCATATGCTTTAGAATCAGCAGGCGCAATAATTACTGGGATCTGTAGTCTGAGGAGAGCAATGCGTGTGACTGCAATATACAATCATCGGCCACTTTATTAGGTACACCATGCTAGTTCCAGTTTGAACCCCCTTTTGCCTTAATTCTTTGTGGCATAGATTCAACAAGGTGCTGGAAACATTCCTCAGAGTTTTTGGTCCATATTGACATGAGTTACTGTTGCCTTTCTATCAACTTGAACAAGTCTGCCTATTCTCCTCTGATCTCTGATATCAAAAAAGGCATTTTTATCCAAACAACTGCCACTCACTGGATATTTTCTCTTTTACAGACCATTCTCTGTAAACCCTAGAGATGGTTGTGCGTGAAAATCCCAGTAGATTAGCAATTTTTAAAATACTCAGACCAGCCCATCTGGCACCAACAACCATGCCACGTTCAAAGTCACTTAAATCTCCTTTCTTCCCCATTCAGTTTGAACTTCAGCAAGTCATCTTCACCACGTCTAGATGCCTAAATGCATTGATTAGCAATTTGTGTTACCAAGCAATTGAACAGGTGTACCTAATAAAGTGGCCGGAGAGTGTAAATGTAGAACTTAACTCTGATTTAAAATGTAACTATATAATCTTAACTCAAAAAAAGTAACTTCTATTGCTGTCATTTTTCTCCAATCCTCTTTTCTTTTTTTTTGCTGCTATGATTTGACTTTATGTTAGAAGGTGGGTTATGTTCGTTCTTCTTGGTCCCACTGTAGGAACGTTGCCACCCTCTCTTGCTTGGTTCTGAGGTGGACAATGGACTATGAACTATGGGATTTTCTGGTGTGCATAAAGCAGTGCACATGACTGTAACTGATGCACTCTGCTCATTCCAAGCAAATGTAAGTGAGAGGGAAAAGGAGAAGTTTGGGAACTCTTGGAGGACAATACAAGGAGGCAAGAAAACACAGTAACACAGAGCCATTGAGTAGTGGATGTGCATTGATTGTTTTTGGAGAATAAGGATGCTATTTAGGCTTCATGCACACATGTGTATGAATATATGCTGCTTTATTTCTGCCAGAGCTTGCCTCTAATGTCTCATATTTGCACGTGTTTATGTGTGTTTATAAGTGTATGAGTATAAACTCATTCTATTGGCTAGAATATTGATTAATTCTCCCAAATACAATAAATAAGCGTATATTTATACACAAAATTAGGCTGATAGGCACCTCTCCAAACGCAGGTTTGGGAAATTTTTTTTTATGTCCCTGAACAGTGCACACTAATACATGCATAAATGCTTGCATCTGCATGGCCACATGAAATACCTTGCAACTGTGTTCATGAGCATAAAAAAAAAACACCAGATGACCATAGAAACCGCATTTTTTTCTTCTCTATGTGCATCAGCCCTAAAAATCATTTTAAGGGAAGACAACTTTTGTGGATAGTGCAAGGAGAGCGCATTTATTCAATTAAAAATCGGTATGTACAAATAATTTGCAGATTCTAATAAACAGCTGTAATTTAGGAGATTATGTTGGATTAAATTTTTTTTTTTAACTGGTAGTAAAGTTACCTGTTTGATTTATACCTACAGGTAAGCCTATATTAAGGCCAGGGGCGGACTGACTATTTGGAAACTTGGGCACTGCCCGAGGGCCCGGGGTCAGTAGGGGGCCCCATGAGATGCCCCTGGTACCTTTTTCATAGGCTTTTTTGAGTTTGGGCAAGGACACAGGGGCCCCATGATCCCCTATTGCCCGGGGGCCCCATGAGTTGTCAATCCGCCCCTGATTAAGGCATACCTGTTGATACAGTAAATATCACCTAAACATGCACTGTTTAGGAGATATTTATTTTAGTAGCAGCCGGTGACTTTACCGGCATATGCGCATTGCGATCTAAATGGACATTGACATCCATTAAGAGTCCTGTGCTGTGACCATGACTCTGCATATGTACACTGGAGTGACGTCATCAAGACTCAGCCATTCAAACGGCCAATGCACGCAAACCCGGAAGGAAGACTGGGTGAAGGTGCAAGGCCCTGTTGTGGTGACAGCATGCAACTGGAGAACTTCATTTTAACCACTTGCCATCTGCCTGCTGTTTTTAAACGGCAGGGCGGTGGCACTCCATGGGCGGGTTGCCGTTCATAAACGGCACCCGCTATTCCTAGTTGTGCGCGCTCCCTGGGAGCGCGCATCATCGCGATCCGGTGCCCGCTGTGTCCTCCGGACACAGTGAAACACCGATCGTCGGACGGGACCTCTGTACGAGGTCCCGATCATGTGATCACTGATCACATGCAAGTAAGCAAGATGTCACTTGTGACATCATTGCTTACTACGTGTGAAATCTGTGAATGATCACAGAGGTCACATGGTACAGGGCTATTCACAACAGCCTTGTACCATGTGACAAGCTCTGACCAATCACAGCTCACACAGTATTTCTCAATGGCTGCAAGAATGCAGGCAGAGAGAAGAGAAATGATTGCTTTTACATCCTATATGGGTGTAAAAGCAATCACTGTAAAAAAAAAAAAATCTTCTTCACCCCCCACAAGTAGTACAGTGTCACCAAGGTGACACTGTACTGCTAGGGTGATGGTATGTAAAAAACCCCCAAAAAACCCATAAATAATAATATAAAAAAAATAATAAAAATGTAAAAAAAAAATGTTTAAAAATTATAATTTTTGGTTATAACTAATTTGGTGTATTTTTTTTTTTTACTAAAAAGATAACGGAATAAATTTTGGCCAAGATTTATGATGAAATATTATTTATTTGCAAAATTTTATAAGAAAAACACTTTTTTCAAAATTTTTGGACTTTTTCATTTATATAGCAAAAAAATAAAAATTCCAGTGGTGAATAAATACCACCAAAATGAAGCTTTATCTGTCTCAAAAAATGGTAAAAAATTCATATGGGTACAGTGTTGCATGACCGCGCAATTGTCATTCAGAGTGTGATAGCGCTGAAAGCTGAAAATTGCCCTGGACAGGAAGGGGGTAAAAGTGTCCGAACAGGAAGTGGTTAAGGTAAGCCTGTCATGATGTGCTAGTATGCACCGCATACTAGCACATTATGACATTATCCTGCAGTTTTATTTTATTTTTATGTTATTTACTACTGCTTTAGGATGGGGCATTTATTGAAAGTTTGGCCCCATGCACACAGGGCATTTTTCCCAGTTTTCCTGAACGCCTTTCCCCCAGGAAGCAGTGTTTTGCCAGAGATTGGGTGTAAATGCTTCTAGATGTGTTTAGGTGCATCAAGAGCTTGGGTGTTAATTCATTAATTAATTGGCCAGAATAACAATTTATTCTGGCCATTTAAATGAATTAACTCTCAAGTGCTAAACATGATGAGCATTAGTGCACGTTTAGATGCGTTTACACATGTCAAAAATTTTATATGCCAAAATGCTGCTGCTCCTGGATGCACTGGCGGTGTTTTTTTCTGCTTCTAAACATCTATGTGTGCATGGACACATAGGCTAACATAAAGGGGCATATAGGAGCAGAAAAAGTAATGCCAGACGCCCCTGAGAGCATCATTTTTAATGCTCAGTGTGCATGGGGCCTTTAAATGTAACTGGCATATGGTTGCTTTTTACGCTTCTACCTTGTCAAAATGTATCTAAATTCCACTTAACTGCAATCCTAATCAGCTGTCAAGATTAGTTTTTAAAAAAAAAATAATGTGCTGTGTTAGCCATTAATAAAAGCAGGAAAGTGAAAGTGATGCCCTTTATCAGCTTTTACTATATATATAATACTGCAACTTTTTAAGAATACTCAATTTTTTCATCTAAAGGCATAACTTTTAGAAAAAAATCTCAGACATATAAAAGTACAGTTGGCCTGTGTCATCTGCCTACCTGTTTCCTATGACGAAGCTGAGCCTTACTCCTCCATGACACACCACCCTTCCCTTTCTACATAATAAATGGCATAGCTTGCTGCACTTCACTCTGAGCTCAGCTGGAGCAGCTAGAACATTGCAAAGCTCGCTCTGACACAAGGCATTCCACTCTGCCCTAAGCCAGGAGCTCAGCTATCTACAACATGCCTCATTACAGAAGAATCCACTGCTCAGCAATGCCTTCCCTGTCACAGCTCCTAGTGTGGACCACTTTACTGCTCTCCATAGGTAAGTGCACTTTGGACAATACATTAACAACTTCAGTGTCTTGTTCTGGCTTCTGCTGGATTGCTAGTATTCTTTTATTTCCTTTTTTATTTTGTTTCTCATTTTTATTTCTGATAATAATGGAAACTGGCAGGTGATAGAAATATTTAGATTTTTTTTTCATTGTTAATTTTATTTCTCTAGTATCTAGTGGTCTATAAGCATTATTTACACAGAATCACAAATGAATAATTTCGTTTCATTGAACTTGGGCTGCAAAGGCGATTATCATTTTCAAAGAGTCTAAAAACTTTTTGTAGTTCTTGTTAGTACAGGAAACTGCTGAGCAATTGATGAGAGATACAGGTGACACAAGAGAGAGAGGATTAGCCGAATGTTTATTTTTTTTTCTAGTAATGCTACCACCAACCCTGGTTTATTGGAGAAAAATGATGGCAAATTAAAGCCGGACGTATTTTATTGTACAATTTCTGTACAATCTCCTTTAGATTTACTTTTAACTATGATGTGCAAGGGTCTGCCTGATTGGATACAAATTAAAAGTAATGTTTAGGTTTGACCTCATAATATATGCTTTTTGGTAAATCTAAAGGACAATTGTACAATAGGATTGTATGATGTATGGCCAGTTTAACACAGAGTCATCTGAATGCTTCTATGTGCTCTATAGAAGCATCTACAGATACTTTATAGACATATTATTCAGAAAAGTGACTGTCATCTCAATTCATTGGGCACTTAAGCTCACCACACACATTACAATCTGATTGTACAATCTCATATAGATGTTTCAACAAATATGTAATGCAAAGGCCTTCCGGATTGCATACAAATTCGATAGTTTAGGTAGGTCTTCATATGACATTTTGGTAGGTCTCACGTTGGTCTAAAGTTTTGGTTTTGGTAGGTCTAAAGTTGGTCTAAAGTTTTGGCTTTGGTAGGTCTAAAGTTTTGGCTTTGGTAGGTCTAAAGTTTTGGTTTTGGTAGGTCTAAAGTTGGTCTAAAGTTTTGGTTTTGGTAGGTCTAAAGTTGGTCTAAAGTTTGGTTTTGATAGGTCTAAAGTTGGTCTAAAGTTTTGGTTTCAGTCGGTCTAAAGTTGATTGTACATAGATTGTGTAGTCAAATTGTAATGTGTATGGTGAGCCTTAAAGTCTCATCAGATTAATATCATTAGACATCTATGGATAATTTATAGGCATATCATTCAGAAACTTTACTGTCATCTCAGAGTAATAGACACAGTGTGAACAGGCACTTAACCCAATAATCTCTTGAATAAGCAATACATCTCTTCCTCCCATTCATGCCTATGCAGCAGATTAATCACTAATATTTTCTGCTGCAAAAATGATATTGCAGCATTGTATAACTGGGGGAGATTGATCACCTCTGCGCGCTTTGATCTCCTGCAATTTATTTAACACAACTAAAGAATGACACATTTACGTAGCTGAGGACGTAGCCAGAGCATTAGCCTGAGATAAGTAAGCTAATATGCTGAAACTTGCAGCATGTCCGAGCATGTCAGGAATATGTAAGGAGGAAGGCATGTCAGTGGATGGAGGATAAATCACCAACAAGATTATGAATGAACCAAACCCCCAGCACACTGGCAAGGAAATAGGACATCTGTTTGGTGTGTCATAATGATAAATATAAGACCAAAGACCACAGAAGGGATCTTTTAGTTTAGTGTGTTTAGGTTTATACAGTAAATATAAGATCAGAGAGCAAGCAAGGGATCTTTTATTTGTGAAATGTTTATAAATATAAGATAAAAGATCCCTGAAGGAATCTTTTGCATAACCACATACAGTCTCATCTTCTGATTGTTGTCTATGAGCACTGTGGGTCCGAGGAAAGTTTTTGCAGAGGCTCTGGACACTGTAAAGCCCTTTTTTTCCAAGACCCCTGAAGGCATCTTTTTAATGTCTCAACTAGCTCACATTTTACAATTTTTAATGTCTCAACTAGTTCACATTTTACAGTTTTTAATGTCTCAACTAGTTCACATTTTACAATTTTTTAATGTATCAACTTGCTCACATATTACAGTTTTCCAAAACTGTATAAGATGAGGTCAAACCTAAACACTTTCAATTTGTATGTAATCACAAAGGCCCTTGCACTACATAGCTAAAGGTAAATCTAAAGGAAATTGAATAAGAAAATTGTATAATGTATGGCCAGGGTACATTTGCTTGTTCTACAAGGAATAATTTGTGAAGTGAAGTTACTTAGGAACTCAAATTATTGTATTCAGCTAAGATTAGAAATGACTGTTGATTGGTCCCAATGGAGTACTGTACTTTGCATTTTGGTCTTACTATTCTCTTATTAATTCAGCAAGAAAAAGTCAAAGCAATTTCATTTTTGTATGTTATTTACGGGATTGGATTCCTTGGATTGCAGCAGTATGTGCTAATATTTAGCTCTTTGTGTCACATTACTGAGTAAGACTGAAAAAATGCAAGTTGTGTTTTTTTTAAGAGCCTCTAAAAATTCAGAGATATAATGCATAACTGAAATAGTTTTGTGTTGGAACCTAAAAATCTGCCATTGTACTTCTGCTAATGTTACATATAGGAAATGCTGGTTATGTTAGACTATAAGCACTTAAAGTGGAGTAAAGCACCACAAAAATGCCCCCAGGAGCTATTTGCTATCATTTACAAGTATGCACTGCATATTTGCACATTAAGGCAAACCTACCCAGCAAAGTGATCACTTCCAGCGCTGCCATGTCTCTACTCCCCTCCAGAGCTGGCACTTCCATCTTCATCCAGTCTACTTCCCAGGTTGGAGTCTTCAGCCTCTTGACTGGTCAGGCTGGTGTGACATAACTCCTGCACATGTGCACAGAAGTTACTTCGTCCTGACACAGAATTGTGCCAAGACTGTACACTGAGCTGCATGTGCACGGCAGGTGTGGAAAAGCATTTATAACAGAAGAGGCATATAGTGCCTACCTGTTATTATTTATTTATTACCTGTTGGTTGTTTTTGAAAAAATTGAGTTTGCTTCTATCGTAGATTAGGTTCACACTAGAATGCGGTGCTGGAAATGCACAATTAATGCACGTTTCTTGAACCACATTCAAAACGCACTGTAGTTGCGATCTGAAGCGGACGCCAATGTTAAATTAATGACACCATGCGATCCAGTTGCAGTGCATTTCCAAAAGTAGTGCATGCACTATGTTTGGTGCGATGCAGTGCAATTTGAGACCATTCAGAATGAATGCGCTCAAATCACACTGTGCTGAATCACATGCGAATCAAACAAGAGTAAGAGTCTGCACTTTCTCTCTGTTTTTGTGTGGGTCTCTTCTAGCTGCCCTGGTTTCCTTCAATAAATCAAAAACATAATCCGGTTTATTTACTAAAACCGGACAGTACAAAATCTGGTGCAGCTCTGCAAAGAAACCAATCAGCTTCCAGGTTATATTTTTAAAGCTTAATTGAACAAGCTGAAGTTAGAAGCTGATTGGATACCATGCACAGCTGCATCAGATTCTGACTGCACTGGTTTTAGTAAATCCACCTCACTGGTTGGTTAATTGTCTTGAACCCAAATTAGCATCAGTGTGCGTAAATGGGGAATGATAGCTTGCAAGCTCCTTCAGGTGAGAGGAATTGATTTGGTTCTATGTACTCTGTGTAATATTATATAAACACTAAATTGACAAATAGGGTAGATAGTATTGATACTGAATGGAGTATTTGACACTAAACTTCTCTTCTAGTAATTTGTTTAAGCTTATATTTTAAATAATTTTATTAAATTTTGGAAGTTCTAGATTTTATTTTACACCTTAATTGTATTTAGAGAAACATATACACTACCAATTACTAAAAAGAATGGATTTCTCAGTAATTCTTTTTTCAATCTACAGCAAACAGAAGCAAAGTGGATGGTGTTGTATTAACAACCACTGAGCCTAATGCTAGTGTGACAGTGCCTGGAGAAGGAGATGGCCTTTCTGACGCTACGAAAGGAATTTTACGACCTGGACCATGAAGAAGAGGGCGACGATGAAGATAATGACGAACACATCCCAGTGAAAAGCTTCTTCATAGACGATGATTCTATACTTGGTAAGTGGGTGGAAGTATCTATAGGTTTAACATTGCTTCTATATGCTGTAATTAGCTAAATCTAACATACTTTACATTGAGTTTTATAATACTTCCTTGCCGATTCAGGCTGAGTAAAATCTGAGGCAGCAGTAAAAGAAATCACTGAACAAGGTGTTTAAATTACGTGCGTATAATGCAGGTAATGCCTGTATGAACTTGTTAAAAGCCTAGGAGTAAGAGCAATAAACTAAGAAATGGTATGCATTATGTCATTTCTAGCTTGGCTCTCACTGGACACGCAACTCTGTACTTTAAAATATATAACCAGATTATGAATCAGAGTACAAAAAAGATATTGGGGGGATTTACTAAAACTGGAGTGGGCAACATCTGGTGCAGCTGCACCAGTTTCTGAATGCTCCAGTTTTAGTGAATCTACCCCAATGTGTGGCCCATAGACACCAGTTCAAATTCACCATTTTTTCTTCCATTTCGAATCACAAAATAGGAACTCCAATCTGATTGGTTACCCTAAACAACCCAATTTTGCATTCCCTGTAGTCTTTATAACTGACACCCAGATTTTTTATTTTCAACGGCTAGATAAATAAAAATAAGGTTTTCAATGTAGAAAAAACGTCTAAAGAATACCTGTCTTGAGGGAAATACGGAAACTGCCATTGCTGACTTTCTATTAAAATATCCTAGTATCTGGGCTGTTATTTATTACAGGTACTTATATAGTGTTGTCAATTTACACAGCACTTTTGCATATATATTGTGCATTCACATCAGTCCCTAACCCTCATGGGGGTATACAATCTAAGGTCCCTAACTCACATTCATACATACACATACTAGGGACAATTTAGACAGGATCCAATTCACCTACCAGAGTGTGAGAGGAAACCCACGCAGGCACAGGGAGAACATGCAAACTCCAAGCAGGTGGTGCTGTGGTTGGGATTCGAACCAACAACCTGCGTACTGCCAGACGAAAGTGCTAACCATTTAGCCACCATGCTGCCCACATTGAGCTAATAGATTTAATACTTTATTATTATGACCCAGATCAAGTATGCTAATCGGTAGTTTTGATTGGAGAATAGACAGTGGTACTTATCTACGATAAATGCCTGTTCTGCATCAATGATTCACTGTGCTGAAGCCAGAGAATCACCATGACAGCAAGGAAACATGCATTCTCAGAAGGAGAAGCCAGCAACGCAAACATGTCTCTCTTTTTTTGGCCCGATTGTTATTAATTAGCAAACTTGTTATTAAAGCAAACATATTTTTTTAAATAAAAGTCAAGCATATGTAGACACAAGCAATTGATGAGAAACAAGAATAATTCAATACTTTGAAAAAGTATATGACACTTACTTCTGCCTACGCAAAATATGTCTACAAACTGAGAACTCTGCAGTAATAATATTTAGAATCTACTTTTATTATTACACTGTATCAGAAAGTCTGCTCTCCGTCATTTAATGATCTGGAGCTGTGTGGGCCCAGAACACATTGCAGAGGTTTGTGGCACTGCCAGGAGTGAATCATATAATGGAACACTTACTTGTCTGCATCTGGGACACCATGTGTCTAACATTTGTTTTTTTTTTTATGTGGATTTAAACTGCTATAGCTAAAGTAACCACTGCAATCATTTCTACATGTAATAAATTCTTACTGTATGACAAAAGCTATGCAATATACTTCTGTGTATAAATCTATGAAAATAGGAATAATAAATAGCAGTGAGAAATCTCAGATATAAAGAGGGAGAATCACTCTTTGGGATCCTCAAATAATAAGATAGGGTGTCTTTTGCATAAGCATCTGTTGCTTTAGGCAAACTGCATTTACATAGATTAGAACTTTCTTAGGCATATGTCATTTTCACATCTTTGGAACTAAATGTTTAAGAAGTGAAGGAACCCTTTAAAAACACATTTTAGGGATTGTGAATTTCTCTGAAAATAATTATATACTTGCTTTCTAGCATGCATCACTTTTAATAAAGCGTCTTAGTGGTATCTAGTATACTAAGAGGTCAGTTTCCAGAGTGTACCAGTTATCACATCCTAACATAATGCTGTCTGAGGATAATTGTTATTATCTAGGAGGTGCTTAGGATTCTAGGATCATTGCCTGTTGTATGCTGCACTAGCATAAAACAATTGAAAGTTGAAATCCATAACAATGAGTACCTGTTCTGGAATTTAAGTATGAGGGAGAGTTCCCAAGTTGGGTGTACTATAGAAATCTAAAGAGCTGGGTGGAAAATTGTTGATTGATCAGCGACTGCATCCAATCAGGTGTGGCCACTGTTCAGGTATACTGACAGGTTCTGCCTGCAGCTGTCAAAATACAATAGATACCTCCATCTGCATTGTCTAACGTGGATGGGGGAATCTGTTAGATTATTGTCATTGAACACAAATATTCTATGCATGCATACCCAGCTTTAGCAGATTTACACATGGCAGGAACCAATGCAAGGTTGGTCAGTCTTCAGAACTTCTAGCAGTTGGATCATAAGAAGCTTAGTTTATTCTACAAATCTTTTGGCAAGTAAAGCATTTACCATTCCTGCATTTTAACTATAATAGCCTATTGGGTTGGAATTATCCCTTTATTAACATCAAACCAGAAGCGGCTAGCACTGTAAATCTTAATTTATGAGCGTCCATCAAATGTCCTGAAAGATATTAGGCTGCGGGGGAGCATAGTGATATAGTAAACCATAGTGAACATACAAGATTACTGTGTTTGAATGCCGATGAAGGGAAATAGCTGAGTGTTTAAAGCCTCACCTTAGTGACTCAACGCATGTTAATGAAACGTGTCTAGCACAATCTCCCAGTGACATGACCTCCTCCCAACCCTGCCTCCAGGGCTTATGTGTACACAGTTTTTAGTCATTCCTGAAAAAGTGACACTTCCGATGGAGAGGAATTCCAATAAAGACTAGTAGCTTGGGGGGAAGGGGTCTCGTTAGACGCTATGTATGTTCCCAGAGGCATTTGTGAGAGCTAGGTATGGAAGCAAGTTATTTAGTAGAAATCCAACTTATATTAATCATCATGTTGCATAGGAGGAAAATTATAAGGACACAATCATATACCGGTAATTTCTGATAGGCAATTAATAACTGATGTTACAGATCTCTTACAGTAGTTACATACAGTATACTGACAAAAAATGTTAAAGTCTGCAAAAGCATTACTTTCAGAAACAAACAATTTGAATTGGCTGGAACATTTTCAATTAGCTTGAATTGACTGGATTTTCTGTATATTGTCACAAAATACAAAAGCCTATGTTATTTAAGTCATTATAAAACAGATTTGAGTCTACTACTTTTAATAAAGAAAGAACTTAAAGTGGTTGTAAACTCTGTTTTTTAATTTTACCTATACGTAAGCTTATAATAAAGCTTACCTGTAGGTAAAATGAATATCTCCTAAATGTGCACCGCTTAGGAGATATTCTCTCTTCATTTAATCCGGCGCATGCGCTCTGAAGGAATGGCATACCCATGACGTCCCTTGAGAGCTGTCTGCCGTGGCCTGGGACGTCTTCGCAGCCCGGCCTGTTAGGATGCCACAGCTCATGAATCCGGAAGGAAGACAGGTGAAGATGGAAGCCTCTACAGCGGTGACAGTGCGCCAATAGAGGGCTTTGTTTAAATTATGTTTTACATAATGTGCTAGTATGCGATCCATAATAGGACATTATGACATTACCTTGTAAGGGACATTTTTTGTCTGTGGTTTACTACCGCTTTAAAGGAAATGTGTGGTTAGTGAAACAAAGGATTGTTTTACTAAAACTGGAGAACACAAAATCTGGTTCAGATGTGCATGGTAGCCAGTTAGCTTCTAACTTCAGCACGTTTATTTAAGCTTTGGCTAAAAATGCTGGAAGCTGATTGGTTTCTATGCAGAGCTTCTCCAGATTTTGCAGTGTTCACTTTTAGTAAATCAACCCCAAAGTTTGCCATTTCCAGACTCCATCAACACAATGATGTTGGCATTTGTTCCAGGTTAGTGGCACATAAAGTTTTAAAGCCACTGAGTTAACATTAGCCAGACAACTAGCATTTTTCAAAGGCGATGGTAGCCTGCATTTTATCTCAGTAAGGGTTCCCTGTATAGTTATCAGATGACAATTGAAGGTTTGGACACTGAGTGATTATTGATGTATGTTTACCATTCTGAATTTACTGAAGTATGCATGCTTGGAATGAAAAATCTGGTCTATGATAAATGCTTCTGACTATGTATGTAATGTTTATTTATACAGAACACCCAGTTCAGAAAGGGTTTGATGTATGCCTGCATAGCTATGTCTTCGAAGGATTTAGATTCCCAAGCTGAGAAATTCTCCCTTACCATATGAGGGCTCCTTAACAATCTGAGAAAATACCTATTAATAATTAATTAATGTTAATAAAGACATAATTAATGTTAATAAAGCAACCATGCTGAAAATAATGTTAAAATCTTTTGCGTCTACTACTTCCTAACAAATACTAATAATACTAACTGATTTTTTTTTTCACTTACCAGTGCAACCAGTAATCAAGCCTGAAAATACAGAGACATCGACTGTTACAACAAGCAAGAAAGGTGAAAAGAAAAATGGAGACAAGAAGAAGAAAAAGGGATCAAAAAAGGGAAATAAGAAGAAGAAGCAGAATCCCTGCCTAACCACACATAAGAACTTCTGCATACATGGCGAATGTAGATTCCTGGAAAAGGTCCCAGAAGTCTCATGCAAGTGAGTTTTGTAGTTTTAGGATCTGTTTGGAGTCAACTACTGCACCCTTATATCTCTTACGATTCTAGTGTTCACATCTCTACACTATAGTTCCTTTTTTTTTCTATGTCGCTCCCTTTTTCTGCTGCTACAGTAGTGTTCTGGTATGACCAAACTCATTCTCTTGCATTCTTCATAATTTAAATTACTGTAGGTCCATAATTGAATCTTTGTAATTGCTGGTGTGCATGTGCACAAACTCAAGTGTTGGAGATTTTACCTACAGAGCCCTTGGAAGACATAAATACCAGTGATTCATCTTTTGATCATGAAGATTATTTAAGGAAGAGCTATTCAAATGTATTCAGTATCAGTGTAAAGGGCAGTAAGCCATACTTTAGATGTCATGACTTCTTTTTGTACTGATCTACTGATTCAGCCTATTAGTCTTGCCTATAATAACATCATTCCTTTTTGTGAGCAAAAGGGCCTTCCTTTATAGTTTAAGCCTCACACTTTCTGTACATGAATAGCTGCTTATAAAAAAAATGAATGTGAAAGCAGTTAATGAATACACTCTGCTTTTCCTAGAATGTAATGTGGAGATGAGATCACACTGCATTCCATGGATGACAAACCTATGGAACTGTGCTATGTCTTTGTGAAATTCTATTTTAGGCAGTGCCTTGTTAGAGCCTTTTCTTATGTCCACAATAACCCTAACCTTTGTCTGGAAAGCTTTTAGTGCTGTATAGAGTATGTATGGAGTGTTAACGTAAAGGTTTTTATCTTTCCTTAGATGCCAGAAAAACTTCTTTGGTGAGCGGTGCAGCGAACAGTCTATGACATCTGCAAAAGAAAAACTTAGCGACATAACCACAACAACAGTATTAGCAGTTATCGCTGTCCTGCTATCAACTCTTAGCATTGCTGCCATCATCATCATCATTGTAGTACAGTAAGTAGGATACACCCATTTTCATTGTTTCTTTTGAGAAATAAGTGCAACAAGGCTATGTGTAACTTCCAATTGTTTACAGTAAAAAAAGGAACATGACATTTAAACCTTGTCCCTAGACAAGATAGTGAAAGCCAGTGTGGAAAAGAATGGATAGCACAAAATTTGAGGGAGAGATAATCAAAATCATGTACAAGTCAAGGAAAGCAGGAGGTAAAGATGCCTCTGATGTGCCAAAAAACCACCCACAATGTGACCAGATTAGGAAAAAATCACTTCCTTTTTTTTAAGCACTAGCCTTCTAGTTCCATGTACCTGGATTGGTGTGCCAAAGCAGGAATCGGTAAAAGATAAGATCTTTTCACAAAGGCATGCCGATAATCTGTTTTTGACCAGTGACTGCACAGATCAACAACGAACTCCAATGTATTCCTGTGGGTGGTTGGATGTAAGTTGACCTATTTCCGCTTATATCCATCCACATCTGGGTCTGTTCAGGTTCGTTAAGCTGAACTCAATTAGTTTGTGTTCATGTCCACTTTTACTGACCTGATGTGGGTGGATAAATATGCAGACACACATCATTTTACCTCTGACCAAAAATAGGGATTATATGGGTCTCTTTTTCCTTTCCTTCCTTTCCTTTTTCCTTCTTCATAAGATAAAGGAAAATTCAGAAAGGACACAGATGCCACAAATGTCACATCTGTTTCTCTTCTAAACTGATACTACAGGGGTTCAGCCCAGGATTCCCTGCTGAGCCAGAATGGAGGGTGCCCATGTGAAAATGGTCTTATAGTTTTAAGGCCTGATTTTTCTCATTTTGTAAAGCGCTGCGCAAACTGTTGGCGCTATATAAATCCTGTATAATAATATAATAATAATAATTTACTAAAGTGGAATGTAGGGTACAATTAACTTGCGAATATACAATATACCTCACTTCACATTTTAGTATATCAGATCTAAAGTCTTCATAAAACCTACTTAACATTCATTCAAATCCTAACTCCAGACAGTACATTTTCTGTTTTGGATGGAGTGTGGTTAGATCAGGTTTTAATTTCTGTTAAAATTTAGATCAGGTTTTAACATATGTTTGAATTTAGATCAGCATCTTAATTTTATCGGTGACCCAGTTAGGTACATCATCTCCCACTTCCTGTCCAAGAAAAGAAATGGAGAGACCAGTTGTCACCAAGACAGGAAGGCAGTGAGAGCAATAAAATATTTTCAGACAATATTTGATCTCTAACAAAATTTCTTATGTAAAATCCTTGTTTTATCTTTTTCTGCTCATGTGTTTTGATTGCAAACCAGTGAGTGAAAATGCTCTGGTTATGGTGCTTATGAGTAGTACTAATTTGGATATTGTTCTTTTTTAGCACACGAAGGAAATATTCATCCTATCATTATGAAGCAGAGGAAAAAAAGAAATTAGGACAAGAAAATGGAAGTGATGAAGTTGAGGTTTGAAGGAAATGGTGAGTATTTTAATATGAAATTTCTGCCTGGCAGCACTAGGGTTGTCGGTTCAAATCCCAACCATGGCACTACCTGCCTAGAGTTTGCATGTTTCCTCCCGACTCCAAAGACATGCTGGTAGTTTAATTGGCTCCTGTCTAAATTGGCCCTAGTATGTGTATATATGAATGTGTGTTAGGGACCTTAGGTTGTGTGCTCCTTGAGGGTTTGGGACCGATGTGATTGTAAAATATATGTAAAGCACTGCATAAATTGACAGCACTATATAAGTACCTGTAATAAATAATATGAAACGTTTAATACTGTATTTCATTGTCCTTTGTCATAGTTTCCTTGGCCCTTTACAGTCAATGTTATATTTTGGCAGAATGAAAAACTTTAAAACTTCATGCCCCTATTCACCCCATTCTGTAGTTTGATTGCATTAGATTTCTGAAGCAGGGAAAAGGTTAGTTTTTCTTCATGCAAGACTTCCTTAATGATGGAGGTTTCAGCTTTGTCAAAAAAAGAGGAGAACCACATGCAGAATAAAAAAGAAAAACAAAACTTTTTAGATCTGTGACAAATATACTGCAAAATGAGGGTATAAATGCTGCAGTTTAATAATGTCATTAAATGTATCCATCACTTTCATGTTACTAGCATGAAAAAAAACCTGACTAGTAACTCCGTTAATAAACAATCATACATGTTAATTTTATTCTGTCACACTGGAAAATTGGTCCCAAGAAACTGAAATAACATGTTTTTTTTTTTTTTTCTTGTTTTTAGGTTGCGCTCTGAATTCTAAAGAAGCACTGCCATGCAATGTGACCCTGAATATAATATATTTTTTTATTGCCATAATTTATTTTTATTTAATATTTTTAATGTTCTGTTGTATGTGTATACTTAAAATTATTGTTAATATTATTGTTATTATTATTATTATTACTACTACAGTAAATGTTTTTTTATATAAAAGTTCCTTTTGTTTTGTGGCTTAATTATCAGGTGTGATTTAATTGGCAAGAAGTTCAATCTTGGAGTTTTACATTGAAGAGAAAAAGATCTATTATTTATGTGAATTTTTATTAGTTTGTGACAGATTCAAGCTTGTCTATCATTTTTTAAAACAAAAATGCTAACCAGGAGATATGATGGACACCATATGGCACATGTGTCAAACACAAGGCCTGTCAGCTGAATCCAGCCCACCAGGCCATTGCATGTGGCCCTCCACCTAGGGCTTTTTTTCAGCTGGAACGTAGCAGAACTCTGTTCTTCCATCTTTTTTTTAATCACTTTTATTGCTGTCACAAGGAATATCAACTTCCCTTGTGACAGCAATATCCACATGACAGGTAATCTTTATGTAGGGATCTAGGGTCTACAATACCCCAAATCCCTTATCTGCACATAAATGCATTCAAAACACCAAGATAGGTGTTTTTGAATGCTTTCAGTTTTTTAAAAATGGCGCTGTTTAGTTCCAAGGAAACCGGAAGTGATGTCAGGTCAGAGAGCCGATAACATAGAGACAATCAGAGCCGATCTTGGCTTTGTTTGGCTGTCCAGCCAGCCAGCAGATATGGCTGGTCGATCGGGTTTTCTGGAAGGCACCCCTCCCGCTGCTTGTACAAGTAATCGAGCAGCTAGTAATAACTCAGATTGCTTGTACAAGAGAGATGACTGTGAGCTCTAAAAAAAACAGTACCGGGGTGATGCCTGCAGACATCACTCTGGTATAACCACTTGGAGTTCAGCTATGTACGGGTACGCTACTGGTCCACTAGTGGATATGCAATCAATCAGAGGAACCACAAGACTCAGCCTTACAACCACATTACTTGTTGAAATTGACCGCAAAGGATATCCATCTCTCAAGCTCAAATGGAAGAGAATCAAACCTTAGTGCTCACTATTAATAAAAAAACTTTATTAAAACTATAAAAATGAACTCACATTTAAAGTAAAGCAAAATGGGCACTTATGAATGGCCTCAGCCAGGGTGAGATTCAATGCTGTCCAGGAGGATTATGAATAAAAGCTGATCTGTTAAGACTGGGATCCCTCCAGCCCTCAGCTAGTCAGTTCAATTCAGGATCATTATAGCTCCACCCTACATGTTTTGTCATGAATAATGCCATCACAGAACTTTTATTGTAATGTTTTACACGACTTTTGTATAGATCTTTATGTAGTTTTTATCATAGCACACTAATGCACCAAGGTCTGTCATAATGGAGAATAATCAAATAGGGTAGGTATATTTTCAGAACTGCACCAAGACCTCTGTGCCTTGTAACAACCCCACCTCTAACTGATAAGCCCCTCCTCTTTTACCACTACAGAGATCGATGTGAAATGTTTCCACACCAATTTACAGATACAGGATAAGTATAGAAACTATCATTCATTCCTCCTGTAGTTAGGCATCAGCATTCCTACGATTTCCAAAATTACAACTTAAAATTAATGGTAAATAAAACAGGTTGTAATTAGGCAGGGAGTCTGTTGGCACCTGTGTTTGATATGACCTTATTAGCAGTGAAGGTTTCTTGAAATACTTCAACAAAACCAAAGGAAGCTGTCTAAGAGCTTTGAAAATGCTTTGTAAAAGCTTGCTGTACATGATAAGGCTTGGACCCCCAAGGCCCCACAAATCAATACACTGCACAGTATGAAAATAAAAGTACAGTGGAATTAAATAAAAGTAAAATAAAAGTATATAAAAGTACAATAAAATTACAGTCACCAAAGCACTATCAAGTCTTTTGTGGCACAAAAGTATGCCATGCTTGCAACCATAAATATATGGTAAATGAGCATCGGTAGATATTAACCACTCGCCCTCCTGAGGATTTACCCACCTTAATGACCAGGCCTTTTTTTGCTATTCGTCACTGCACTATTTCAACTGGTAATTTTAGATTTACAGAGGAGGTCTAGTGCTAGAATCTCTTCCCTTGATCTGACGTTCGCGGTGATACCTCACATGCATGGTGCAACCGCTCTTTACATACTGGCATGGGGTCAACACTGGGGCACACGAGGGTGATTTTCTTTTTTTGGGGGGGGTAGTTCTTTTGATTCTTTAAATTATTTTTACACTGTCCCTTTCATTAATTTTTTTTATCACCTTTAATGCTATCACAGGGAATGCAAATATCCCCTGTAACTTCAATGGGCATTGTCATACATTCTTTTTTGAGAAATGTGGGGTCTATCAGACTCTAGATATCTCCTCTGCCCTTACATTATCTAATCTCTCCAAGATCAGTGTGATCAGATGCTTTCCCAATGTACAAAAGGCGCTGTTTATATCCTGCAAAACTGAAGTGATGCAATGCTCGTAGCTTCCAATTTCTTAGACTATAGAGATGATTGGCACATTCCGGTCTCCAATCAGCTCTATGGTCAGCTCACAGAAACAACGGCTGCATTCTCAGGTTCCCCCAATGGCACGTGACTGCCCAAGAAGACCATGGAAGGCAGAGGGGGCATCTTCTCCCGCTGCTTGGAAAAGCAATCCTGCAGTTAATTAGCCACTAGGATTGCTTTTACATGAAAGCCAATTGCTGGCTGAAAAAAAATGATACCAGGATGATGCCTGCAGCTTTTTTTTCATTCAGCCCATGGAACATTTCATGTGTACCCACCATTAGAAATGGGTGGTCGCAAGGTGGTATATTCTAATGGTGGGCATACCACATACTTTTTCAGGCAGATTTCTTCTCTTTTTTTCATTCAGGTTGCATAAAAAAAAGAACATAGCATATATACCCAACAAGTACCAGCGACGTACCAATACGTCTAATGGTGGGTACACATGAAATGTTCCATGGGCTAAATGGAAAAAAAAAAAAAAGAACCTAACAGATTCCTCTATTCACATCAATCAATATGGATGAAGAAATCTCTGCCCCCAATTTTTTTTTTTACATACATACCGAAGAATAGGGGCCATCCTCCACAGAACACCCCAGGCCCCCATGTTTCGGCATATATGCACTTTTTTTTAACTTGAATGAAAAATCTCATTCAACAGCACTGCACACACCTACTTATGTATATTCTGAGAGTAAGACCCTTTTAGTGTCAGAATAAACAAGTTGGTGCTGCAGCGGATTTGGCATTCCTGCAAAGAAAACAGCAATGGTTAAAAATAAAACAGTAACTCAATAAAACAACTTTTTATTGAAATATGTACCAAAAAATATTATAAACATAGGGGTCATCTACCCACTGGCCACTCCAGGCCCCCATGCTTCTGTATATATGCTCTTTTTTAACTGTGGATGAAAAATCTCATCCAACAGCACTGCACACACTGACTTATGTATATTCTGAGACCAACTTCCTGTTGCTGTCAGAATAAACAGGTCGATGCTGCAGCTGAATGGCATTCCTGCAAAGCAAACAGCAGTGGTTAACAAGAAAACAGTAATGATAAAACAGTAAAATTGTAACAGTAGAACAGTAACAACAATGACAACAACAAAAGCTACAACTATTTTTGGTTTTTAAATTTAATTTTTTTTTTTGTACTTGTACTTTTTATTTTTTATGTTTTTTTTTACTTTTTTTTTTTTAACTTGAACTTAACAAGACTGTAGGGTCTCTCAAAATGCGATAGCCAGTTTCCTGACTACCTAACATCTTTCAAGAATATATGCCCTGAACTGTACCATGCTGTACCCAATATAATACTGCACTAGTGTGTTGTAGCAACGGAAGCAGTCCTTGAGGCAGAGACCAGGTTGTCCAGGACAGGAAGGACAAAAAAAAGCGGGTGTCACTCCTAATTCCGTGTCTGCTACAGACACAACATCTTTTTTTGGGGTGTCCTTTGGGCTGGGGTACCAGGAATGGCATCGGGATAATGCCTTTCATGCAGCCTGCTAACTGCATCTGTGTTGGGGGTTTGGGCCACAGCACCTTCTAGATACAAACGGGCCGTGATGATCTCTTCCTGGAATTTTAGGAAGGATCCACTT